CATTTCCTGACCTTAACCTACTTTTTTTTTTCTTCTGTAGATTGGATTGACATGGGCAAATTGTGTCCAGGTTATGCCATAAAACCATTGAGTCATCTGGTTTTATCCTGTTCCCATACCCATCTAAATTTTAATCTTAGATGACCTGGAAGAGTGATCAATCCCTGATTTTTCTGGGTCAAAAGTGTCAAGCCTGTGTCATGTGCAAAATGAGTTCAAAAGAGCTCCCATGCCCTATCATGATGGCAACTGGGCATTATACTCTCATAGTGGCTATGTCTATTAAAAATTCTTTTACTTTTATTATCATATAAAAGCCACCTTTCCTAGGTAACAGCACTTTGAAATGAAAACCTCCTAAATTTTGAACCATGAGGAGGTTGGGTCCTGGATAACCAATGTTTCAAAATTTTTAATCTCCGTTATAATTCTTCCCCCCTCAAAAAAAGGGCAACATTTCCATAATCCACCTGATTTTGGGAGCAAAGGATAAACTTGAGGGCTTATGCTGAGTTGGTAGAGGAATTCAGCAGCCAAGAATAGGTGTGCATGTCAGGCTGGATTTAGGTCCACCCTAACCCAAACTGACTTTTAAAGTCATGATCAGGTTGGGCTAGATTGGGTTTGGGTTGTCCTGGTTTCTTCATTACATTTTGTTAAAATGTTCTTATTTCTTAGACTTAAGATTAATGGAATAAGGTTAACTGGCTTTAGCATTGTTATATGGACAGGAACAAAGTTAAGGTGCTTTTGGAGTACATTTGTTTCAACTAGATTTGTTTTTTTTTTCATTCAAAGTAAAATTGTTTAATATATGTTTATAAACATGTATTCATAGATGCATAGTTACATTTTAATACATACATACAAATTTACACACACACACACACATATATATATATATATATATAATAATTTATACATACAAATATGAATACATGTTGGGTTTGGGTTGCTCAATACCTCAACCCCATCCCAACTCAAAGTTAAATTGGGTTCATACTTTTCAATCCTAACCGTAACTGGAATTTTGATCCAACCAAACCTTTTCAGGTTGTTTCTGGCTAACCCAGCCCAAGTTGCAACCCTATCCAAGAAGCTCCCTTTCCAAGTTTTCCAATTATCCAATTGGCTAGTCTGGTTCAGGTTCCGAACCACCACATTTCTAGAGATTATGTTCAAAGGATCCCTGTTAGTCATTTTCAGTAGTCCTTCAGAAAGTCTTATTGTATCCATAAGTAATTCAAGGGAAAAAGAAATTTTGGATGGTGGAGTCAATTTTTTTTGTCAGTCTTATTTGGTTTCTTTTTTATAACTTTGCCCCAAAAAGTTATTTTTCTTTTTTATAACATTGTGAGGACATATAGATAAAATATATGTAGTTTTGTTCTGGTGAAACTCATTCGCTGTTTTCAATCCAAAAAATATAGCCCATATTCACTGTCTTCTTTGCTTTGTATAGTCTTATGTTTTAGTGCTATCCTTTTTGTTCATTACCAATTAAAGAAAGCCCTTTACCAATAAAAAAATAGACAAAGTTTTTAAATTTGGATATATTGTTTATCAGTATTCATGATGATCAAGATATCATTCAGGAGAAATAATGTTATTTGGGAACAGAAATGTAAGATGTAAAGCTGTAGTTGAGGTGGGGTTCTAATGCGATTTCTCCCACACACTTGATCATTATGTCTGAAAACAATCAATAGCAACTTAACAAGGGCAACCAGGTTTAGGGAAATATCCCTCCCTCTATTCCAGAAACCTTATTTGGGAATATAATCTGGATAAAAATAACTATTAAGGGATTTTTAATTGCAGTTATAGTGCATTGGCTCCTTAAGACTGAAACCAAGTTATGGAGGTAATGGAAGTTTCTGACACTCTATCCATAATCCATCTGATTCAGCAGTTATAACAACTTGCAAGGGAAAATAGGTATTGGGAGATATCCCTCCTGCTGATCAGCAACTGAGTTTGAGAATATGTTATGGACAATAGTTTAACCATTGAAGGATTTGGTATTGCAGTTTTAGTGCATTAGCCCTTTGACTGAAATTAAGTTCTGGAAGTAAAGGAAGTTTTGGACACTATGCATCTGATTTAGAACTTTTCTATTGATAACTTTTTTTGTCCCTTTCATTTCTTGCCTTGGAGCAATTCATCACATACTCTGTACTACAGATCCCATTACATCACAAAAGGACTAAGTGTCAATAGGGGCTTTTGTGTAAACACTTTTGATTACAGGAGCGCTGTTTCTTATCCATTTGTGAATTAAGGCCTCCATGCCCTTGGTACTAATTGCTATCAACTAGGGATGCTGTGACATGGTCAATTTGGGAAGAAAGGAGTGCAAGAATCTTCAAGGAGGTGGATCATTCATAAGAAGCTTTAATTGAAAACATAATATTGAGAGTGGTTCTTTGGGTCAAAGTGAAAATTCTATTTGAGCCTTGGGTAGATGGCATTCTTAGATATTGGCAATAGGTTGCATCGTCATTCTCATTGAGTAGCATAATGCTATGTAACTGGTCTCAACCACCATTAAACTTCATAAAACTAAATTGTGATGGGTAGGGGTGGCAATTTTTCACCCAACCCGCTGAACCCACCCAACCCACGCAGAATCTAACCCGCTCATTTACTTAGCGGGTTGTGTGATCAACCCGCCCATTCAAATGGGTTGGGTTGTGGATAACCGTTGGGTTAACCATTACAAACATTAGTATTAATTCCTTAGCCTTTTTTTTATTTTCTTCATTTGAATTACATAATTTATAATTAATGCATTAATTTTCTATTAATTATTGACTAAATTTAGTTGTCTTGAATCAACACACTTCACCCAACATAAATCCAAATCAATTTGACCCAAGTCCGGACCAATTCAACACAGTCTGACCTGATCCAACCTATACCGATCCGGGTCGACCCGAATTCAAAATAGACCTCGAACGGGATGGCTTGGCACCGCTTGCTTTGCCCGGTTCGAGTCGTCCGGTCCAACCATTATTCACACAGCCCTGCTTGACCCAACACAAGCTGATTCGGGTCGACCCAAATCCGAAACGAGCCGGACCAGGTGGGGTCCAAACCCTAAACCGCTCCACTTGCTTTCCCGGTTTGGATCATATTCGTACTACCCGATCCGAATCTGGCCCGGTCCGATTTACTTCTTTTGGCCCGCTTTGGGCCAATCGGTTCGGCCCCAAACCCGTGCACAAACCTGATATGATCTGACCCAAGTCAATCCACCATCTGGCTGAACTGGTCTGGTCTGGTCCGACCGGATCAAACCGGCCCGGTCGGGGTCTAGTCCGACCGGACTGAACCAGTCCGATCGGGGGGGTTGAGGGATGAGGAGGCTAATCATTTATCAGAGCTTCTCCTTTTCCTTGATAAAGTCTGCTTAGAGCCTTCTAATCCTGATAGAAGACTTTGGTGCCTAAGTCCTAAAGGCCTCTTTTCATGTGCATCCCCCTCCTCTTTGTCCTTTCCTTGGAAAGAAATTTGGGTTCAGCCGATTCCCCCTAAAATTAAGGCTTTTTGTTGGGAAGTGTCTGTTGGGAGAATTAACACTCTTGATTCATTACAAAAGAAAAAACCTCTATGTATTTCCCCAAATTGGTGCTCTCTATGTAAATCCGACAGTGAATCTTGCTTTCATCTACTAATCTCTTGCTCATTTGCTAAGAAATCTGGGATTGGTTTTCTCCTTGTTTTGGGTGTAGGTGGAATATGCCAACAGAGATTAAAATGTTGTTTTGATCCATAAACCTTTGGATTTCTGAAGAGAAGGGGAAGAATATTGTGGAGATGCACTAGAGCAGCAGTGATCTGGACATTATGGGAAGAAAGAAATGCAAGAATCTTCAAAGAGAAGGAAAGAAGTAAACAACAAATTATGGAGTGTGTTATGACCAGGATTTACATTGGTTGCAAACATTGGACCTCTTCAAATATTTCTCCTTTGATGATATCTGGAGGAATTGGAGCTTCATAGCCTTTGGTGCAGTACAAAAAATTAAAGCAGGGTCAGTTTGGAATCTTCCCATTGAAGATTGGCTGAAACTAATCTTTGATGGGAGCAGCCAAGGCAACCCAAGTCCATCTGGCATAGGAGGGGCTGTAAGAGACAAGGAAGGAAATTTAAGAGCCATCTTCTCAGGACCAATGGGACATGGAGACTCTTTAAAGGCAGAACTATATGCAGCCCTACAAGGCATTCAGATTGCAAAAGATGAAATAAAGAAGTTGGCTAAAGAACCTAGATTCAGTGATTTGGTGTTACAGAAATGAAATGAAGAAGTTCAAATGGCCCACACAACAAAGGGAGGCCAATGAATTGGCTGATTCTCTAGATAAGCAGGGGGTAACTAGGGATCAGATGTACTGGGTCCATTTGTAAATCTGCAATATATTTTTGTTGAAGAGTGAGGCTGCAAATCGTGCCTTACACTGGGATGCTTGTAACAGATGTAATCCTTCGATTCTAATGATAAATGAAAGTTAATTATCAAAAAAAACATGAGGTTTACACTTATCTTATGAAAATTATGGATGATTAAGGAAACGTAAGAAATATGTTTTTTGCTTAAAAAAATCCCTTGCCTAGGTGACACCTAGGTGACTAGGTGACAAAGCGCCCCTTGTTTCCTTGGCAATTTGAAAACTATGTCTCCAACTTCCGATGATGTGATTAGTTGTATAGGAAGTGAAAAAGCTCCATGGTTCTGACTCAATGTGCCACCTTGATGGAGATAGCTGCTCTTCTTCCCACACACACCATAAGATAGCCGCTCTTATTTTTTTACTTGTACGGTTCATGCATGCATGCTGGGGACAAACACATCCACCCACATATACTTGGTTCTGTAATGCCCATAAGATTAGTTTTAATTTCTACTAATTATAATTCATTTTTCATTATTTATGGGACTTCTACCCCCAAGATAATCTTTTATTAATGAAGTTAAATTTGAAACATTCTTTTGCAGGTTGATGATACGGAAGTTATCAGTTTTCTTCTCTCAACTGAAATAATTCCCTTGTGTTTGCGCACGATGGAGATGGGTAGTGAACTTTCGAAAACAGTAAGTGATTGACTTTTCCTGTATCACTTTTGTAGTAATGAGAATTCCCAAGTTCATATCATTTGATTCTGTTGTTCTCTCTTTATATATATATATATATATATCTTTGACTTGTATAAAGCTGGTTACAGGAATCCTATCTTGCCATTTTTGTATTGGGAGCCATTTCCTCTGTCAACTACATCAACCATGTCCTTTGTCCTTCCTCTAGCTTTTTCTTGAACCTTCAATGGATTATTTGATTTCGATGAATTCACATGGTTACGACACTTTCTTTTGACCTTTCAATAAGCCATGAACATGCTAATATTCAAATTTAAAACCAAATCACCATGTGAGTGCATGCCTAAGTGATTTGATTGGATTTTTGCTGACACCCTAGAAAAACAAGGGACTGTAAGAGAGAGGCTTTACTGTGCAGTGCTGTAATGTTTGCTGTTTATTGAATCAACCTTTTCTAGTAAGGGATGACTTCTGTATTTCAGTTTTAAATTATCTCTAATGGAAGTTATCGTTTCTGATAAAAAAAAAGTGATTTGATTCGATTAGACCACATGGTCACAACACTTTTTTGCAACCCTCCTATAAAAGAAACATTCTATCAAACAAATGAAAGATAAAATTACCTAGTGAATGCATACCTATTGTTGCTAGCCAAAGTGATACATGAACTACCCGCTATCATATGATAAAATGGAGACTACCTCTAGGATCTACTACATTACTAGGAATATCAAGAAATACTACCTCATCCTTTGAGTTATAGTATGTTTAAGAAGACCTAGACATGCTATAAGTCAAAAGAATAAACCAAATCATCTAGTGAGTGCATGCCTGGGTGATTTGGTTTTCATGAGTTCACATAGTCACAACAATTTCTTGCAACCATCCAATAAAACACAAACATACTAGTATCAATCAAATGAAAAACCAAATAACCCAATGAAGGCATGTTTGCTATTGCTACACCAAATGATAGAAAACAACTTACTATCGTGTAAAATAGAGACTACCTCTAGGATTACTATAGTTAGGTTGGATGGTGCATTACTTAGAATGGTCACGATCTACAAAGATGGCCATTGGTGCTCGTGGGAAATTAGGGTATATCACTAGTGAAGAGGTGAAACCCGAAACTAGCAACTCTCGGTGGGCACAGGAAAATTATATGGTGATGCCTTTGTTGTGTAATTACATGTTGCCCCATATAAGTAAAAAATTTTTATGGGCAAATACAACTAAGGAAATATGAGATGGGGTTGCAGAAACCTATTCACAAAGGGAAAATGTTGCTAGGGCTTATTAGTTGAGAAATCAGATTATTTCTACAAGGCAAGGAGATAGACCTGTTGCAGCCTATTTTTCAGCCCTTAAAACCCTGTGGCAGGAGATTGACCATTTAGAGACATTTGCTTGGGAAACCACTAAGGATGCAGCTACCTATCAGAAACATCTAGAGAAGTATAGGGTGTTTGAATTTCTTGCTGGCCTTAATCCTGAGTATGATATTGCACGACAGCATCTCCTTTCCAGGGACAGTGTTACTCTCTCCCAGGCATATGCCTTTGTGTCAGGGGAGGAGTGCAGGAGAGATGTGATGATGAAAAATCTTATTTCTGATCAGTCTGTCGTGGTAAGTGTTGTGAAACCTGAACAAAGTGGAGATCGGGGTGGCAGTGAAATCAAGAAGGAAGATAAAAGAGATTTGATCTGTGACTATTGTAAGAAGCCTAAACACACAAGAGATACTTGCTGGAAGCTTCACCCACATCTTGTGCTGACTAGATGAAAAATAATAAGGGAAATGCACACATGGCAGTTACTGGTGACATTCCGGCCCCTCCTACTACAGCTGCTCTAGAGTCTGTTGCAACTGCTACAGTAAGGTACAGGTGACACTGGTGGAGTCCACTCTACTTCCTTTGCTCACACAGGTAGTTCACAGGTCACTGCAAATTACGTTTCTACTTCAAGTAAGGAGGGACCTCCTTGGATTATAGATTCTGGAGCCTCAGAGCACATGACCCAGAGCTCTACTATTTTTTCAACTTACCAGCTCTATTTTGGCAGAGATAGGGTCTCCACAACTGATGGATTCCATGTTTCTTATGCTGGGAAGGGATCTGTCAAGATTAGTGATTCTATTTCTCTACCCTCTATCCTTCATGTTCCCAGATTGAGCGCTAATTTGTTATCTGTTAGTAGTTTGATTAAGAACCTAAACTGCTCAGTAATTTTTTATCCTGGTCATTGTATTTTGTAGGATCTAGATTCAAAGATGACGATTGGGAGTGGTCGTGAGTGAATGGAATCTACCTTCTGGATGTACTTCCTCCTCAACAAAGTCATCATGTCAGCTGGGATAGTGAGTCAGGGTCTATGGGTCAAATTATGCTTTGGCATAATCGTTTGGGCCATTTACCTTTTTCTTCTTTGAGTTTTTTGTTTCCAAAACTTTTTAAGTCTGTTAGTTTGTCTAGTCTGGAGTGTGAAGGTTGTCAACTTGGAAAGCATTGTAGACATTCATTTAAACCTAGTAATAAAAGATGTTATTCTTCTTTTGATGTTATTCATTCGGATGTGTGGGGCCCTTACCATGTTCCTTCTATGGGAGGCTATCGATATTTTCTCTTTTTTGTGGACAATTTCTCATGATACTCTTGGATTTACCTGATGAGATCCCACGATGAAGTGCCATCCTTGGTGAGRCAATTTCATCAGATGGTGCTAACACAATTTGGAACAAGAATAAAGGTGTTCAGATCCGACAATGCCAGGGAATATTTTGAAAGACACCTTGCCTCATATTTGTTAGAATATGGTGTTGTCCATCATAGTAGTTGTCCCTACAGTCAACAGCAGAATGGTGTTGCAGAAAGGAAGAATAGACACATTGTTGAGATGCAAGAAGCATGATGATCACATCTACAGTTCCAGTTCGGTTTTGGGGTGATGCAATTCTCATAGCAGTATATCTGATTAACAAGGTGCCCTCTCGTATACTTGGATTCAGCACCCCATTCAGTCTCCTTTTTCCTCAGGGGGAGATGTTTCATATTCCTCTCAGAGTGTTTGGGTGTGTCTGCTTTGCACATATCCTTGGTCCTCACCGCTCAAAGCTTGATCCCAAGGCAAAGAAGTGTGTCTTCCTTGGATATGTAGAGAATCAGAAAGAGTACTGCTGCTATGATCCAGTCTCTGGGAGCCGATATTATTACCATGGATGTCACTTTTTTTAATCCACATACTTCTTCTCAAAGAATCCTTCTCAGGGGGAGTGTTTTGGGGAAGTGAGTCAGCAGTCTATTCCTCTCCCAGTTCCAGTCCTTGTGTAATCCTATGCTTGACCACCACCCTGTGTCACCTACCTTGCCATCTCCTTTGCGTTCTGCTTCTCAGCATTACTTACGACAGAGACTTCACAAGGAGGTTGATTCTACTACAGCAGAACTCACATCCTTGGATACTCCAGATTCAGCTGACATGGATTCAGGTATTCCTCTTGGTCCCGCTATTGTTTCAGTTCCCATTGATTCTACTAATCCTGTTACAAATAACCTTGATCTCCCTATTGCTCTCAAAAAAGGGAAGAGAAAGTGTACTGCTCATTGTATTTCACAGTACTTATCCTATAGTGGACTTTCTCCTTCCTATCGTGCTTTTCTTTCCTCTCTTAACTCAATGTCTATACCTAAGTGGAAGACAGCTATGCAGGAAGAGATGGCAACTTTGATTAAGAATCAGACATGGGACATTGTGGATCTACCAGAAGGCAAGGGGACAGTTGGATGCAAATGGGTTTACACAGTAAAATATATGGAAGATGGAAGTATAGAAAGGTACAAGGCAAGACTTGTTGCTAAAGGGTACACAGGCCTATGGCATTGATTACTTATAAACCTTTGCACCAGTTGCAAAGATGACCTTTGTTTGGATACTTCTTTCTCTTGTTGCCTCATACTCTTGGCCCTCGTTTCAACTTGATGTGAAGAATGCTTTCCTAAATGGGGATCTGTAAGAGGAAGTGTATATGGATCTTCCTGCGGGCTTTTACAATGATACTGAAAAGGGAAAGGTATGCAAACTTAAGAAGTCACTTTATGGCTTGAAACAATCTCACAGAGCATGGTTTGACAGATTCAAAAAGGCATTGATTGCTTTTGGCTACACTATCTAAGATTATAACAATGAAACAAACAATATTAAACTAAATTATTCAGTTTGAGTTAAAATATTAGTTTCTTTTAATTATTTTTCTTATTTGTTAGGGACCATTCAAGATGTATACTGCCTTGAACCCTTGAAGGCTTCAAAACCATCTAATGGTTTTAGAAAAGTTGCCTATCAAAATAATTCAACCCCCATTGTGCAGTCTATTTGCCTAGAAAAAATAGTATAATTATTTCTCACAGAAAAAGCTCTTCATGACATACACATACTGCATGTCTCCTAACTCTGTAAATTCTATCTTATACAAAGAGATTTATCGTATTTAATTAATATTCACTGCGAGTGGGAAGGCAGGATTGACCTTTGGAGGGGGGGACATGGTGGGGCAGGGCAGGTAGGGTTTAAAGTTCAATTCATGAGCTTCAGCAAACCATCACCTGTCAGTTGCATCCTCTGTTATCATTTCTTATGTATCATATTCCTTTGGTTTTGTGAGATAGGGCTAGCTTGGATCTATACATGTGCTATTTCCATGGAAGCTTTTGTTAATTTGTTTGCCAAAGCAGGTGGCTACATTTATTGTTCAAAAAATACTGTTGGATGATGTGGGGCTGCGTTATATTTGTGCTACAGCAGAGAGGTTTTTTGCTGTAGGCCGTGTGTTGGGAACCATGGTTAACTCACTTGCTGAACAACCCTCATCTCGGCTACTAAAGCATATCATTCGGTGTTACCTTAGACTATCTGATAATCCAAGGTTTGTTAATCAAATCATTTGAGATACAAATTCTAATTTATCAATGCCAACCTTTCTGGTTTTTCTTTCCTTTCCTTTTCCTCTGCTCCTTGTTAGCACTTTTCCTTTATGTTTATATGTAGCATTTAGTAATGTGATTCTGCTATTGGGTTTTCATGTTACAGAGCTTGTGAAGCATTAAGAAATTGTCTGCCTGAAATGCTAAGAGATGCAACCTTCAGTAGTTGTCTTCGTGTAAGTATTACATGAGAAATATGTAACTGCTTCTTGCTTCTATCATTCTTGGCAATTTTCCAGCTTCCTACCAGGTCTTTTTAAGTCATTTGATCATCTTGTTGGGTATCTTTCTGGTTTGTTCTATCACATATAAAAATCTTGGATTGCAAATGATTTGTCTGTCCTTTCCATTTCCAGGTAGTTGGGCCTAACTGAGATATCATGGCCTAGGCTTGATTTAGGCCTCCAAACTCCTAAATTTATCTCGACGACATTTGGCCAAACCTAGAGTTGCATACTTGAACCAAACTGGGCAAAGCTTACTATCAGTTGATTCCTTGGCAAACTTTAGTCAGAATTTCATTTCTCCAAGGCAATGGGATCCACCTAGAGCCCATAAAATCCCTGTTTGGTTACTTCTAAATTCAGTGATTTAGTATCTTTTGAATTGATCAGTTTATGGGATTTCATCTTATGAAGTTCCTCAGTGTATGTTACCACCCATTACTGTGTCTTCCAGTCCCAGGTTGTTTTGATCCTTTATTGTTCTAGCCAGTCTGTTCTTTCCAGATACATAATTCATATAATTCCTTCAGAGTAATCCTGTATCACAGATATCTTCTATGAAGTGCACTTTTTGTGATCATAAAATTAAAGTCCCCCATGACTTCTAGTCTTCCTGCAGTATTTGGTTCTTGCTACTGTATATAGAAAACTAAATGTGGAGAGGTTGGGGAAAGGACTTAAAAGTATCTAATAACCCTGAGAGAATTGAACAGAATAACCTGGCAACTCTCTAGAGTTGGCACATAAGAACAGAATCTTATATTATCTTCTCAGATCTAATATTATTGTAGTACCAATACTACTAGACAAATTCATAGCCTGCCATGTTTATTTTTGAACTTATTGGTGGAGTTTGTCTGTTGTTATGACATAACCTAGGGTTATGCTATTGTCCGCCCTCTGCCTGATACCATCATGTTTCATGTTCTCTATTTCCATACAGGAAGATCCAACAACAAAGCGTTGGCTGCAACAACTGATTAATAATGTGGCAGGAGGAAACCGGGCTGCAGCATATCAAACTGGCGGAGGACTAGAACATATGCTAGGAAATTAGATAAGTTTAGCAACATTGTTCTAACTGCATTTCTTATTGCTTCTGGCAGACCTCAACTGTGTTGGCTATACAGGTCTGTGACAATTGGCCATACAGGGAAGGCAGAGTACCATATGAAGACTCCAAGTATTTACCTCTTTTTTATTTATAGATCTATCTGTTGTAAGCTTTTGACATATTGGCACAGTTTCCATATTTGTAAGTTTGATCCCCTCATGTAATTCTGTATTTGCTGCTTACAAGTTGTATTGATTGATACTCAAAAAGATGGTTTATGATTATTTATCCCTGCCGTTCCTTGGACAATTCCTATGCGGAATGTATGTTCCATCTATTCTTTGCTGTCTATTTCCATTTACCTCCCTAAACTCTCCTTATTCTAGGTCATTATAGATGGGCTGCTCTTCTTTCGTTTTGAATCTTCTATGCTTTTACCGCCAAGGTGTTGGTAGTTTTCGTGAGCGCTCAGCACTCTGTTACTTAATATTGTGGTGATTGGATGGGAACGCTATCATGATTAGAATTTAGAACCCTTCGTTGTGTTTGTCATTCATTTTCTTGAAAATTCAACATGTCTGTCATCCTCTTATCTTATCGATCTTGAAACCATTTTGAGAAAGATATAGTAGCTGGTTTCTCGGTAGGCGTCTATCTTATCATCACTCTATATACTTTGTCATTGAATCACGTCTCATGGGACGGTTTTTATATACATCCTGCTAAATGGGTAGTTGTAGACCTGTAACTTGGCTACATTACTTATTTCTGTCATTTGGAGAAATTTAGCTCAGGCCTTTCTGGTGATGATTTTTAGGATTATTATCTGTCTTTTCTCAAGCGTTGCTGGCCACTGAAAGTTTGAAGTCATCGTTAGGCTTTAAATATCGGGGTGTTAACAAGAAATCTGTAGTAGGAGCTTCCTCATGCATGAGACCACTTACTAAGTTGGTATAAGTTTGGACATGCTGCTCCCTGATTAGAGCCAGATGTGCCGAGTACGCGTTCTGTGTATGGGTAGGGTTCGGTGGAAGGAGAAGCTCTCCAGGGGAAACAAAATCGAAGAAAGGCCATTTTTGTCTGTGTTCTAGACCGGACACGAACTGGTTCATGGACGCGTGAATCGTCTGATTGAACTGGCCAGACCACGTTAACGATCAGAACGCGCGTTAATGTTGGCCTGGTCGACGTATCGTTTTGCCATTTGTGGGTTCACTCGTCTAATGCACCCATGGGTGCACAGAACGCGGACTCAGATGTGCCATCTCCAATTCCAACTGTTGCCCAGATGAGGACCCTCTGGACTTGCTACTTTATTGATGCCTAGCGCCGGATTCATTTGCCTTGAGTTGTATTGCTTTTTTCCCTCTCTCTCTCTCTCAAACCATTGTACTGGGGTCATTGCTTGTTGAATTAAAGTGGAAGAATGCGGATTTTAGGTGGCGTTGGGTAAATCTAAAGTCTGGGTTTTGAAAAGTAAAAAAAAATCTGAGAAAGCCCTAAAGTTTTTATTTAAATAACAATAAATGAAAATGATTAAGAAATTATTATAAAATAATAAAAAATATAAAGTTTTAAGAAATGACATTAAAATAATTGATAAATAATAATAAATTACTCTTCCCACCACTTCATGATCATGGGGCTTCTCCAAAATTCCCAATGGTTTTCTTACACCAAAGGGAATCGTCTTAAGCTCATTCCACATTACTCTCTGCGTAAGTTTATCCCTCTGTACCAACATCAATGCGTCTTCAATTCTGTTAATTTTATTCAATTTACCCTGAGGCTCAGTTTGAAAAGAATACAAATGTAAATATGTACAGCATAAATACATACAAAATATAAGGTTTTGCATTCTATATATTTGCATTTGTACTCATTTCAAACTGAGCCTTAATGTCCTCATCCAAAGGTAAACACAATCTTACTTTGATCCTTGGAATCCAAACCAAAACTAGAATAAGAATAATCGTCCCACTGTTCAGCAATCGAACACCTATCAAACGCCCACCTCGTCACTCCTTGAACATGATCCCAGTAGTAACCAAACCTCTTGTTTCTATTCCAATCTGCACCCTCAGACTCTGATTCCTTTTAATCCTCTCAGAAATCAGAATCCCCTTCATTCAAAACCTTACACTTCTCACTCTCTTCTTCCATATCATCCAGTTCATAGATCTGATCGTCATTTCTGTTATTAGCACCATTGCCGTCTACATCTTTTGGTAACGGATTGGCAACGAGTTCATCAAGGTTGCTGGAGGAATCTTGTGAAAAAACTAGATTTGGAATAGGAGGAAATCCTAACCCTAGTCTTGAAGAGGAGAACTGAAATCCTAACCATCGATCAAAGCTTTTACTTTAGAGAACTGAGACTGAGAGGAGGAAGAGCGCAACGATGATGGTGCAGAGATGAGTACTGTAATCAGTGTAATGGGGGCGTAAGGTTCTGCCAATTTTGGGGTTTTAAAACTTAAAGAAGGATACAGCCAAAGAAATGAGATTTCGTCCTCTACCTTCGACCTCCATCCATTAAGAAAAGCAACATTTTCAGTGTTCCATCCATTACCCAGAGATTATCTAGGTAATCGGTTCCATTCTACCCTTGACCTGTTTTTGGGCCAAAAATTGTTGATTTGGTCAAAGAACCACTGACCCAGGCAGTCGGACTGTTGACCCATTCGACCCAGACAGCGGTTCTTCATTTAATAACAAAAATAACGTTAAACGATGGAGAGAGACTCTCATATCAGAATTCAGAGATCACCAAGATCCAGAGAGAGAGAAAGACTAGAAAAAAGATTGGAGTGGAGGGATCTCAGATCTCATATCTGAGACGAGAGAGAGAAGAATGGACATCGACTTGTTGCTGCACTTTTATTGTCACCGCCATCTCCGTCATCATCACCATCACCGCTGAACGTCAGATCCTCCTTCTTCCCTCCTCTCCTTCATTTCTTAGTTTAAAATATCGATACATATGCATTTTCTTTTAATTACACGACCCATTAAGTACAATATGGATCAATATGTTGCAATATTTTGAACCTTGCTAATAAATTGGTAAATTCAATTAAAGGTTGGGTATAGATAAGCAACAAATTACAAGGAAAAAAAAGGAGTAATTACCTATAAGTAGGGATGTCTAGCAAAATCTTAGGAAAAATAATTATTCTTTTAATTTGCACAAGGAGAAATTATTCTTTTAATTTTCTATAAATATAAATTTTTGTTTAAATTCTATAATAACATTCTGAAATTGAATATATTGTCTGCCAAGAGGCCCAGGACATACAATGACTAATGAAGAGCAGTCTGGTTAATGAGGTCAGAGACCAGAGGACCTAACAGTTAGTCGACAAAAATTTTCTTGAGATCGAGAGTGGAGAATCAAAATTGGCATATGCTTCTGACAGAGCACTCCTCACACTGACCTTATAGCCATAGTGGGGAACATCTCCCCGTGGGTACAAAGACCCCCTTGTACTATGGGGCCAGATACAAAGTCCCCCCTGTACTTTTTTTGTGACAAAGGCCCCCCCTGAACTTTAGCCATTAGACAAAAACCCCCTCGACCGTTAAGTCAGATGACAGAAGCATTAAATTACCAAATTACCCCACTAAAGCTTCTCTATTTTCTTTTTCTTTCCCTTTTTCTCTTAAAACCTACTAACTTGAAAATACCTCTATGATGGATATTTGGTCTTGTGAAGTGGTTTTGTTTGTTTTGATGGCTGGTTATCTTCCCTTCCATGATAAGAACATCATAGCCACGTACAAGAAGATTTATAAGGGCGAGTTTTGGTGCTCTCGCTGGTTCACCCCTAAGCTTATTCATTTCCTCTCCCGTCTTCTGGACACAAACCCTTTGACCAAAATATCAATTCTGTAAATCATGGAGAATCATTGGCTCAAGAAAGGATTCAAGCACATTAAGCCATGTTTGGTTCACTACTTTGGTCCTCATTCTTTTAATTTTTTTTCTCATACTGAGCAAAAAATGCACAAGAATGAATAACATTAAAGTGTTTGGTTACAAAAGTCTTGCCATGGGCCTCATTCTTTTATAATGAAAAACCAACTTATTGCACAAAAATTGAGCTAGCTTGCAACATGAAAAATAATCATGTCCCATCTTGCTCATTTTCACTCTTTAAATAAACTCTACAAAACTGTGGCTATAAATGTTTGCTGGTGGACTGCCATGGAAACTTATGCCAATGAATATTGACCATCAGCCATCCACCAATAAACATCTATGCTAATGGTTTTGAAGACCTAGGCCAACAATTTATGACTGCCGACACAGAATATTTTTTGTAGAATACAATGAGCAATATATTATATGACACTTGTCAGTTTGAAAAAAAATGTTATTTAAGAAAAAACTTTTGATTCATTCTACCTATTTTTATCCATTCTTATTCATTTTAAAGTTTCTAAATAAAAAATGAGAATTCAAGCAAACATGGGCTTAGATAGGGTTGTTCATAAGAAGACCCAACCCGACCAAACTGACCAACCTGGTCTGACCCAACCCGAGTCGGCCAGGTTTTCTTTAGCACCGGTCGGTTTCGAGTTATAAAAAATCATAAACCGATCACATGAAAACCGAAACCAATCCGACCCGAACCGACTTAGTAGTTAGTTCCTAGTTAGTAGTTACAACCTACTTAGTTCTTCACTACCGAGTTCATCAGGAGGTATGTTGTAAACATTAAAGATGACCCAAGACCCATCACTCCATCAGTGAATAAAAAAAGAGTACATGAATAAATGTTTGCCTTAAATTTCAGTATTTCACCACTACTTATCTATAGTAGCAGAGAGCATCTTCTTAGCTTTTGTTGGATCCGGCCGGCTTTGATAGTTTGATCCATCCATTATATAGTTTCCTACAGATTGAAATCTTACTCCAACAAATAGTACTCTCAAACTTTGGTCCCTCCACAAAATTTGGATCCATAGATGGGCCACAAAACATTAAGGAAATGTTGGTTTCCTTTGGGAATGTAGAGCCAGAAATGAACAGCAACTGAGTCACCACTACGTAGAGCCGAAACCGACCCAAACTGATCAGGTCGGTTTTGCTTAACACAGGATCGGTTTCAGTTTCAATTTCAGGTAACCCGACTAGGTCGGGTCGGTTGGAAAAACATCAGTAAACCAACCCAATCCAACCCGTGAACAGCCATAGGCTTAGATTCTACATTGAAAATGACTAGTTCTACGGTGTCAAGGATAATGACAATGTCGAATACTTGAATCCAATGCATCAATATTGGAAACTAAGTTAGACCTAGAGGAGGTGTAGAGGCAACTAGAATCCGAATTGCCTAGTTATACGGGGGGTTCGACCTCTCTAGTCTGTTCAAAGAGAGATGGAAGGAAACTAAGTTTATATATAGTGCATCGATGTCAAGTATAATATCAAAATTGGAAGATAGGGCTATTCACGGGTTGGGTTGGGTCGATTTACTAGCGTTTTTCCAATCGACCTGACCTGGTTGGTTTACCTAGAAATGAAACTGAAACCAATCCTGTACTAAATAAAACTGACTTGATCGATTTGAGTCGATTTGGGTCGATTTTGTGAATGATTCTTTTCGTGTAAACGGTAAAAGATTCAAGTCTAAGAAGCGATTTGATTTCGGCCGAACCAAACCATCAATTTATGCTCTTTTGTAACCCGAAATCGATTGATACTGAAGAAAATCAGCCAACTCGGATTGGATTGGACCGGGTTGGTCGATTTGGGTCTTAAGAAGAATTGCAGAATAAATCTAAAAGCATGCACTATGAGCTATTTAAGGAAAGGAAAAATATTTCACTTAAATAATTCGATCGTGACAGAATGGAAGACGAATGGCTGGTTTCTTGATTATGTGAACCAGATGTCATATCTCAAAAGAGGGGATACTGCAAGGCAAGAAGTCCATCGATATGACAACTAGTCATTCAGCTCTGGGAATGGTGAGCCCGAAGACATCGTTCATGTCGAGGTCGCTGGGTTTCATCCCACCTGGTAGTTCCACACAAAGCAATGAACTGATGAAGCAAATGAGCCATGGCTAACTCTAACGTGTAGACGGTAGAGTCCCACCCAGTTGCATACCAGGGCAAGAACACTGAACACCGACCCAATCCAAATGGTATGAACTCGAAGTTGCTTACTCTGAAATCTGGTGTTGATGTTTCCGGTTTCCGGTTCGTCCCAGGCTTCTGGGACGCAAGTCTTCTGATTATGGTCTTGATGTTGTCTCTGTTGCGCAAGTCTACCGTATGAAAGTAATACCCATGTTTTTATAATCTGCGGTTCTACCGTATGAAAGCATGTGATCTCTCTGTTAACGAGCAGATCCGGACTCGGAGAATCGTGTCAACGTATACCCATGTTTTTATAGTCGGCGGCTTTACCGTATGAAAATGAAACGAACCAAGCTGGCATTTGTCCATTTGGACATTCCAATGGACTTGGGACACTTGGGTGTCCTCTCTCTGAAGCAGTAGAAGTGTAGAACAAGACAAGCTGAAAGCCCGGAACCAAGTTCTCTGCTTCTTCTGTTGTATGAGATTGATCCGTCGATGAAGATGACGGAGCCTTACGAGATCGTCGATTTGACATGCGCCGTGGGCGACGGCGAGTCCGAAGACGCAGGAGCAGTGGACATGAACATGAGAGCCTCTATTTTGGCCGTGGAAGACCTCCTTGGCTACCGATTCAAGAATAAGGATCTCCTAGAGGAAGCTTTGACTCACTCGTCTTGCAACCGGTCGCCTTCCTATCAACGTCTCGAGTTCGTTGGGGACGCAGCTTTGGGTCTTGCTCTCACCAACTTTTTCTTTATTTCGTACCCGGATCTCGACCCTGGTCAACTCTCTGTCCTCCGCGCTGCCAACATTAGCACGGAGAAGCTCGCCCGCGTCGCTGTTAGGCACGGCCTCTATCGCTATGTCCGACATAATGCTCCTTCTCTTGATGTCAAGGTACTGAGCTTGTTGATCCACTTCGATTATTGTTTCTTTTTTTTTCTTCTTTCTAGTATATCTGTTTAAATTTAAAACTCGAGTTTCTGTTTAAGGTTGAGGAGTTCACTCGTGTGGTTCAAGAAGAAGATGGTGCTGTTCCTTATGGTGGAATGGTAAAAGCGCCTAAGGTTTTAGCAGACATTGTTGAGTCCATCGCTGCAGCTATTTACGTCGATTGTGATTTTGATTTGAAAGCTTTGTGGATGGTACCTTCTTATTTTTTTTTCTCTTATTTTGATCGAAATTCTTTCTTTTTCTTTCTAATTTTGTTCGTTTCTCTGTTTTTTCAGGTCTTTAGGGGTCTTTTGGAGCCCATTATTACGCAAGGGACATTACAGCAGCAACCGCAGCCTGTGACTACGCTTTTCGAGCTCTGCCAGAAGCGGGGGAAGCAAGTTGACATCAAGCATTGGAGGAAGGGATCGAGTAATATCGCTAGTGTTTTTGTGGACGGAAAGCTCATTGCCTCGGGTTCTTCGGATCAGAAGGAGATTGCGAAGCTTAATGCGGCAAAGGTAGCTGTGGAGAAGTTGGTGCGTATGGAGCCAACTAACATGGAAATAGAAGGTCCTGGAGTTGAGGAAATCGAGGGGGCCAAACAGAAGTTGAGTGAGCTCTGTAGCAAGAGGCGGTGGCATCCGCCGAAATACAGGTATTAATTTCCTCGTTGTACAAATCATAATCTTGTTAACTGATACTTGCTTCTAAATTACTTCTTTCTAAAGTGCATTCCATTTTTCATATTGCTGAGAGTCCTCATCTTCATATATATATATGAAATCTACAGCAGAAAATTAGCAGAATACATTGTCTATTATATATTTCCTTGGTTGTTTATACTAGTACTTGGTTTTTTATGTACAATTGCACCTTTACATAGCACATACATTAAAATCCCTAGAGTTGTCAGATGTAGCACTATATGATAGCCTAAGGAATATGCATTTACTATCTCCTTAGGTTCAAGATGGCCCTTCTATAGAGAGGAATTATTGAGTTCCAATCCTGTATGTAGCTATGGTACAAGGGTAACATATGGATACTTAAATTCTTACTGAAAACTCAGGTTTTGATACCTTGTCAAGCTATATCCTTGTCATATCCAAGTGACATACCACCCCGTCGTCTTCCACTTCTGGGATTGGGTGGAACTTGGGTCTAAGAAGGGATTTGAGGGACTCAGACTTCGACAGTATTTTGAGCCTTATTGCACTTCTTGATAACGTTGTCTTAGACCCCACTAGGGCAGATTCTAGAATTTGGACACCTACCCCCAATGGCATCTTTTCTTGTGCTTCTTTCTTCAAAGTCTTAAGTCAGTCCACCAGTCCTACTTTCCCCTCTTTCCCTGTTGATGAGGTTTGGTTTAGAGCAATACCTCCTAAGGTTGATAGCTTTTGTTGGGAAGCCTATTTGGAAAGAATCAACACTGGTGATCTACTCCAAAAGAAGAGACCCAATACTTGCTTGTCACCTCAGTGGTGTGTTCTTTGTAAAGCGGATGGGGAGACTAATTTTCACCTACTGGTGTCTTGCCATTTTGCGAGGTCAATTTGGGATTGGGCTTTCTCCCTATTTGGATGTAGCTGGAATCCTCTATCAGACTTGCAGGGTTTTTTTTCCCCTTCTTTTTTCAGGTGGCGGATAAAAAGGGGAAGGACTATGTGGAGAGGACTAAGGGTTGCAGTATGTTGGACACTTTGGGAAGAAAGAAACTCCAGGATATTCTCAGAAGCTGAGAGAGGAGCAGCAGATTTGAGGGCTATCATACATATTAGGGCAGTACAGTGGCTGAAATTTGTGGAGCTATTCACAGATTACACTGTGGATGACATGTTGAGGAAGTGGGGCGAAATTGCAAATTGCACACAGACTAAGTCAGTAATGTGTGTGGCTTGGACCCCTCCACCTGATGGATTCTTGAAATTAAACTTTGATGGGTGTAGTAGGGGCAATCCGGGACAATCGGGGATTGGGGGTGTTTTTAGGGATGAAAATGGGGTCATTTTTGCCATTTTCTCAGGCCCAATTGGAGTGGGTGACTCCCTTAGAGCTGAGATCTTTGCAGTTATGGAAGGAGTCCGGAAGGCTAAGGAGTTGAACATCAGGAAACTCATAATTAAAGGGGATTCAAAGGTGGTGATAGGGTGACTGATTAAAGATCACAATGGCTTATGGAAGTACAACAATGAGAGGAGGAAATTCAAGTGGCTGGTGCGGGAGATGGAAGTCAAGACATGTTGGGTTAAAAGATCGACTAATTCCCTAGCTGACGGTTTAGCTAAACAAGGGGCAGAAAGGGATTCACTGTTTTGGGCTAAGCTATAACTTTAGTGTTTTTTTTTCTTTTTTTGCTTTTCTTGAGGTTCTTTGTTTCTCTTGGAAGATAAGTGTGTTTGTCTTCCTCTTGTAAATCTTCTATTGATGATTTAATGAAAGTGTTATTGATCCAAAAAAAAAATATCCAAGCGACATAGGCTTGGCTATCACAAAAGCTTCAGTGGAATACCCAAACAAGTGTATTGGATGAAATTCTTACAGAGTAACACTAAGGGGGTGTTTGGTTCAGTATAGATAAGTAGCCTTTCTACTGATATCAACTGACAATCAGAAGAAAAATAAAAGGGTAAGACTTAAACATACCCCGAATTTTCATTAATTGACTTAATATACCTTGGGCTTTTCAAGAGGACTTAAACATACCTTGTTACTCTTTTGTCCTTCATATCCTTTCAAAATTTCAATAAGAACCAAACATAAAACAAACTGATGTGTTCAAAATTCTATTTTGCCTTAAACCAAAAGAGTAAAAACTAGCGATTCCTCCCAAGAGACCAAGCTTGACAAAGGATACTTAAACATGACAATATAGGATTCAGTTAAGATTAACTGTTTTTTGAGTTTTTGTTCCACAAACCAGACTTACTTGTGCTGTCAATGCCCATTTTTGTGCTGTCAATGCTTTGCTGAAGAGCACTAGTGGCCTTATTGTCATGTTTGTGGCTAGGGCTTTAGGTTGTGAGGTAAGTGGTTGGCCTCTGGTATATTTAGGTCTGCCCTTGGGGGGAAATCCTATAACAGAAAATTTTTGGTACCCAGTTTTAGAAAGATCCACTAAGAAGTTAGTAGGGTGTAAGAGAAATTATATCTCACTAGGGGGTAGAATCACTTTAATCAAGTTCACTCTGGCCAACCTTCCGGTGTATTTTTTGTCTACCTTTAAGCTTCCTACCAAGGTTGCTAATAAGTTAGAAAAGCTCGTGAGAGATTTTCTATGGGAACCGGGTGACTCAAAAAAAGGACCATTTAGTGAAGTGGGAAGTAGTTTCTAGGAAAAAGGAAGCGGGAGGTCTAGGCATTGGCAATATCAGATTAAGAAATGTTGCTTCGTTAGGAAAGTAGTTGTGGAAATTTCGTTTGGAGAAGGACAATTTGTGGCACTTGGTGGTGGAAAGTATTCATGGGATGGCAGCTAATGGATGGGATGCTGGCGTTGACCCTAGGGCTTCTCATTTCTCCCCTTAGAAAGCAATTGCTGGAGTCTCGTCTTCCTTTCAGCCTTTCAGCAGATTTGATGTGTGTTCAAGTAATAAAATTTTGTTTTAGGAGGACCTTTGGCTTGGGAACACCCCCCTTAAGGATAGATTCCCAGTAATGTATTCTCTTTCCCTAAATAAATTCAAAACCATCTCCTCACTTCGTGTGTCTGAGGGGACTTAGGATTTGGGTTTGAGAAGAGGGTTGAGGGATTCAGAATTGGCTTCTGCAGATGAGTTATTCACTGTGTTGAATTCAGTTTTCCTAGATCTTTCCTGCCCGGATAGTAGAATTTGGAAAGAGTCCTCTTCAGGGACTTTCTCTTGTTCATCTTTCTTCAATGCCTTAGTTCAGTCTTCTTTTGTGTCTGTCTCTTTTCCTGCTAAAGAAATCTGGTATTCTCCTGTGTCGCCAAAAGTTAGGGCTTTTTGTTGGGAAGTGGCTCTTCAAAAGATCAATACTATTGGAGCCTTTCCCCACATGTCTATTACCTTTGCTTAAGAAATGGTGAGACAACGACTCATCTTTTGATTTCTTGTCCTTTTGCTTATTATTTGTGGAATTGGTTCTCTTTTTTGTTTGGTTACAGATGGAACC